AGTCCATAGCTGGTTGGTCGGAAGCACCACCTGGACTTGGGAATGGCATCTGAAGTTGGGGGTAGGGGGACAGTCTTGTGGGACTGATTCCTTAACCTGTGGAATCCGATGCTGTCTGTGGTGGATGGTGTTAGAATTGGGTTGAATTGTAGGACCCCCAACTGGTGTCTGAGAATTGTTTGGTGGTGGGGGGGAAAAACCTACACATTGTAATTGTTGGGTCCAGAACTCTTTAATACTAAAATGTAAACACCTTATAAGATCCCAAGTTCTCATTTTTTCAAGAAACAAAGCTTTACATCAAAAGGATAAATCTCTAAAGTAGAATTTTAAGAGAGAGACGGATGATAGTTTTCTAGACATGCCAGAAATAATTTTGTGTTACTAGTTGGCCTGCTTAGAATGTTTCCCCAGCTGAGATTCTGTTTTTAGTAACCCTCAACTTAAGACCTTACTTGTTCTTGACTACAGTTGAAAACCTGCCCATATTCCATTACGGGAAACGTTTCCAAATATAATACCAAAAAATAAAATAACATAAAATAAGTATATACCTTTACATATAGTAAATATATAAACCAAATAATAATACAAAAGCCCGTCATAAATCACTATGCCCCTTAAGGCATTTTAATTACTGTCTTGGTTTTGGGAATGCTTCATAAAACTGTCAATAATAAATGCTGAAGGATGGGCAACATGCATAGTGCTCATTCACTGACAACTTCCTCTAGGCACAACTCCAATATACCAGCCAGTTGCCCTGACTTCACCTGGTGTGCATGGGTTCAGCTATATTTTATGGTCATATCATTGGTGCAGGGTGGGGAGGAGGGCAGGGGGAGGCAAAATTACAAGTTTTGATTGTTACTCTAGGATTCTTGTTTACCTTAAGGCAGGTTTTCTTTGACTGTTAAGAAAGACGATAATATTTATTTTGATCCTTAACTAAAAAATGACTCACCTGTATCTACATATATGAAACTAAAGTCATTGTTTAAATAACTAATTTTAAATTTTTTTTCCTGAAAATAAGTTAAAATATATATGTACATTAAACACTGTTAATGTATACCTATTTACATCCCCTATCACTCATACTGATTGTTGTGGAAACTTGGAAATAAATGTTTGAATCTTTCTCCTTTTCATAGGTCAAATTAGGGAGGCCACAAGTTAGAGTTGTTTCCCCTTCACTTCCATTCCAAGAGGCACGCTTTACTCCTGTGTGAATAAACTAGCTGAGCAGAGCTGATTTGGCAAAATGTAGCTGTAATTGCCTCCAGAGGAAGGAGATGCTAAAAAGTTATTGAAATCAAAATGTAAATAGAATACAGTTACTGTGTTAATCTTCTCCTCCTGTCATAACAAAATGCCATAGACAGAGTGGTTTAAATAACAGAAACTTACCTTCTCACAGTTCTGAGTTCTAGGAGTACCAGCTCAAGATCTGGCAGGGTTAATTTCTGATGAGGTCTCTCTTCCTGGCTTGCAGATGGCCACCTTCTTGTCCCTTTCCTCAGTACACTGGTGCAGGGGGAGACAGAGCTCTTTGTTTTCTCTTCTTAAACGGACACTAATCCTTTCAGATCAGCACCCCACCCTTATGGCTTCATTGAACCTTAATTATGTAATTACTTTCTTAAAGGCTCCCTCTGTAAATACAGTCATACTTCGGGGTGGGATGGGTAGGGGTGGGGTTAGGGCTTCAGCGTGTGAATTTGGGGGAAACAAACGTTCAGTCTGTGACAGCCATACTTTTATACCTTCTTTGCCAAAATCGGAAGTTTGCTTTGGCTGTTTGCCAAGTGTAATAGGATGTTGTTTTTGGCTGCTTTAACAGGAACCAAGCAAGAATGGTTTACGCGAGTGGCTTAAAGTTTGATTCTCTCTCTTGTAAAAATCTGAGCTGGTCCATAGTCCTGTGGTCATCTGAGGACCCAGTCTTTTCTCTCCTGTTGCTCTGCCCTGCCCTAGGGTGTTGACTGCATTTG